AGGGGGGGGGGGGAGTTTAGAAAAGCTAGCTCAATCTAGGCTTGCGTAAACAAACTAGAGAAGGGGAGGAGTGGATAAGCTAGTCCAATCCGAATTGGTGAATGAATTAGATTTGGATAAGATTTCAACCAATTCGTATTAGAATCTATTTGAAAATTATGACGTGGATTAAATACAAATATTTCACGAATTTTGTGTTCACAATTCATATTTAAATTTATTTAATGGATATCCAATTTGAAAATTCAATCCGCTCTAAATAAATCAAATGGGTGTTGAAGAGTTTGGCTTTGAAATTGTTAGGATGGTTTGCGGCTATTTTTATTTTTTGATCAGGTATAATTGTTTGACTGTCGTATAGTTAGGGCAAGTGGTCTGGATAAATTCTTTTTTGTCCAATTGGGACTGTTAGACTATAATACCAATCTCCTTCATGGGTCTAGAAGGGGGCTCCATCATCCGGAGGACTGGACTATATACACCGTTCATCCATATATATGGTTATTAATTATTGTACAATTCAATACATTATCTGGAGTAATTTTGCTCAACCAAATACAAGACAAAGCTAGTTAGGGAATCTTTAGTCCAATCCCCTCCTGAAAATCAGGAATGTTCAAATTTCTGATTATCTGAATATTTCGATTCTATCCAATTAATCGGCTACCGCAAAAAATTGGATAAGTCAGTTGAAGAAATTTTGCTACTCCGCAAAAATTGGATAGAAATGCGGAATACCCATNATAAGAATTGAATTAAAAGAATAAATCATGCATTAAAAATATTGGATCAAGAACAAATACCGTGTTTTATTGAAAGTATATCCTATAACTTTAGTTGGGCTTGTAGTCAGCCATAAAAACAATACAATAAACTAGAAGAGAAAAGATTGGTCAAAGGAATGCTCTATCAACAGGTGGGTGCTTTTATTTATACTAAAGTCTAGATATAGGTAGGAGTTTTAGGGTTGGCTTGGGATAAACCTTTTTCCAAAAAGAAGCATTTTTAGGTCAAATCCCATGCATCAAACCTTGGGAGCACAGGTACCATATCTGTCCAAACTTCGAGTCCAATTTTTGCATAGTTAGAAGCCGATTCATGAAATTTTTATGAAATACACTTTTGTAACTCTTGAAGTTTTCTTTCCAACATTGAAAAAATAAGGTCAATCGGATATCGGGATAAAAAAATATCACCAAAATACTAAAGATATGTCAAAATCTTATCTTCTAGAATACTTTCTTAATCCAACTCTAAATGAATTTTCTACTTAATTGGACTCTCATAAGGATTAAATTGTTACATTATCTTCAAATCTTCATATCTTAATTTTGACTCTTTAGTCCGTATCAACTGTGATTCTTCCTCTAATGTTTACTTCACTTGCCTTATCCATTCTTATTTTAAATTAATCAAATTATCTGTAAAATAAATCAAACAACTAGAAAAAGTATCAAACTAGAAAATCAAGAAATTTAACACATTTAATCATAAATAATATGCAATTAATCAATTATTAAATATAATAAAATAACACTTTTGATGGTTAATCACCTTTCCTAAGCTTTGAAGAATCAAAGGAGGTCTTCATGATGTAGCTTAAAGCTTAAACTCCTTCCTTTTTGTAGCTTTTGGATCTTGAACTTGAAGTATTCTGACCATGGACTTAGTTGAGATTTACATTATGACTTTACGGAATTAACCCGTTACAAATGAACAATTTTCTGACATAGTTTATACCTCAGCCATATGATTCCAAAGGTTGAGCAGGGAGAATAAACAAACCTTGATAGACTGAGAAATGGAAGGATGTAATTCAGTGAAGTGAAGTGCCTTGCAAAAGACGAGGCGACCATTACTTATAGCTCTCCTAAACCTTCCACTTCCTTGGCCAATGGTAGAACTGTAGCCACTTGTCTATAATCCAAAATGGTGAAGATCTTTTCTGGTAGGTGTCTTGGATTTTATTTTTTTTCATAAAAGAATACAATGCTGTCCTTGAAAATTTTGTTGAATTTAAGAATTTTACCCATGTTTATACATGTTGAGGGCCTTAAGGTTCAAGGGAGGTCTTCCTTTGTCTAATGTGCGAGACATGGTAGCTTGCTGGTGTATATGTATGTCAGCCTCACAAAGCAAGCTATTTTATACAGCACCATTATTTGTGTGCTTTTAGGCGTACCACCGGCATTGAGCCTGCTTGTGTGCACATGCATGTGCGGTTGTGTGTGCCTCCTCCCCAAACACACTTCATCTTCAGGATTTTTATCAAACGATTCAAGACCATACATCTAACCAGTGTTTTGGTTTTATGTTCAATGGTGATCTGGATTTATGTCATGATGTGAAGGGCCCAAAATTGACATAGTTTCAGGAGCATATTAACAATCCAAAAGAAAGAAAAGAAAGACCAGATTATGCGCTTAGTTCGAAGAAACATAAGGGGGAAGGAGAGGAGGTTGGCGTTTTCAGTCCTATTTTGATCATTAATGGAAGTGGGGTGGCTGAGTGTTTATTTAAGTTTGGTTCTCACTTTTTACGATGCCTGATCATCGCTTCATGGGTCCTTTGTTTTCATTCTTTTGCTAGGTACATAATTGAAATCTGTTAACGGACTCTGATGATAATGACTTTTATTTGGAGTACAACAATTAAACCTTTTAGTATAAAGTCTACAAATAAATAGCTTTGCCAGTTCACATTAGTTATTCGTGACTGAATGAATTATTTTCTTTATCTTTTGACTTTGCAGTTATATTAGCAGAGACAGTTGCTCTCATTGCTGCTAGCACCGTCCATCGAGTTTGTATCACAACTTGGTAATGCTTATCTTTTGGCTATGATTTTTACTTGTTTACCATTATAAAGCTTATCTCAGAACATATGTTGGAAAGCAAAATGCTATTCATTGGGACTAAATTGGTATATCTTTTCCTAACAATTGACATGTTGAGAGTCCTTTTTAAGTTAAGTGGACATCAATGGTCATTGTTATTTTGAAGGGAGAAAAAAGGGAAAAATAAGCTACAAGTAGCTAGGATGTGGATCCATGGATTCTAGCATTGTTCTGCATGAAACTATACTATGATAGTGTCAGCATAAAATGTGTTGACGTATTCATACAAGTGAAATTCTTGGTCGGTGGCTCGTAATGATCAAACTAGCTTGAGCTAAGATAAACCGACCTGAATTCAGTTATTATTATTATTATTTTTTATTTTATTTATTTATTTTTTTTGGAACGTTGAATTCAGTTATTTGAACTGGGTGCTTTGTGTATTAAATCGGGGCATTGCTAAACATTGTAGCTCAATGTAAGCTAAGATAAACCAGCCTGAATTCAGTTATTTGAGCTTTGATAAACTGGCCTGAATGGAAATGCTATGTAATATTGATTTAAGGTCATCGGATCCCAATGCAGTTTCTTGTTCTCTGCTGGACTATTGTACGAGATCAACAAGCTTTCAGGGATGATGCTTTCCAAGAGTGATTCTAAAGCGAAAAGGTTTTGAATGTAAGATTGTGCCTTTACAGGATTGGTTTTTTTTGTTTACTGGCTGTTACTGTGGAAATTTTGTAAGTGTTTTATACGATCAAAGTGTT